TGGAGTTGTGGGCTCGATCCCCAGTGGAGGGCATGCAGGAGACAGCTGATCAATAATTATCTCTCATCATTGATATTTATCTCTCCCTCTCCCTTCCTCTCTGAAATCAATAATTTTTTTTTTTTTAAAGAACTCTTGGAATAGCTTCCTCTGATTAGTTTTGTTTCTTGCTCCTTGGTGGCTCCTGTCACACTGGTTATTGAGCATAACCATTCTCAGTGGTTCTCTGTCACACAGTGGATTGTTTAGCCTACACATGCAGTTAAGCATAAGAAAGAAAAATAATAAATGATAATGTTCAGGGTAATAGTAATGGAATTTTCAACTTGAAAATTACTTGTGAATAGACTTCACAGTCTTTTTAGTTACATGCAAAGTATATGCTAATATAACTAGTTATTTTACACAATTAGTTAAGACATTTGATATTGTGCCTATTGCCTTATAAGTATATCTCACTATTTGTCATTGGTGAATACCTGAAATATATGTGTAAATAGATTTTTATTAATGCAAATCGTATTTTCTCAGTGATTTGGATAATAATTTCAAAAACGCTTCATCTTCACTTTAAAATAATCTTAATTGGTAGGGGTAATAGTTTCTCTTTGTTAGGTGTGTCTATCAAGTAGTTAAATCATTATTTAGATGCAGCAGAAGTTCTAATTTTTTAAAGCACAGCAATGAGTCACTTTAATGAGAAAAATTATTCCTAAAAAAGTAAAGAAATGTCATTCTTGAACCATATAATTTTAAGTCAAAATGGACAACAGAGATTATCTAATGCAACTCTTTTAGTTAACAGTTGAGAAAAATTTGAATCCCAGAACTGAAAAATTAAAGACTTTGCCACATATAACAGATTTAGTTAGAGTTGTTGCTAGAGATAGTACTAGAACTCATATCTTCATCATACAATTCACTGGGATATTCTGGTATCTGGTTTATACATTTGTAAATCTACGCTTTTTAATATTACCAAGTTAATATGAGTGAATGTCTGTACAACTAAGAGGAATATCTTCCTAAATCTATACACGTTATTATTTTATTTGATTACGTTTAATGGATCCATGTTCAAACCTCATCTCAGCCACATGTTTATTTGAACCCACAGACTTTTCATTGATTCTGGATCTCACTCTGAGGCTTTATCTTAGTTTAGCTAAAGTGCAAATAACTTCAAGTTTTAGACAACTTGAGTCTTAAGTGTCACTTAATTGTTGTACAGCCTTGGGCAAATCACTTAGCTTTTAATGGGTCTTATTTTCTCAACCATAAAATTGAGCTAATGACTGTACTAACTTCTCAAGGTTATTGTAGTGATCAGGTGTTGTGACAGTGATGCAAAACATTTTGGGTATTTATTATGTACCAGACATTTTATCAGCTGATAACATTAAAATTAAATCCAAGTGGTCTTGTTAGAAACAAACTGAGCTTGTTAGCTGAATAAACATTTCACTCAGTTAATTTTATATATACATAATTTTATCTTTGTATGTATTTCTCATACTTGCAGTGGATCCACCCTCCGAGCCAGTGATCTTTGTTCCCCTGGCTAGATGGAGAAGCAAGTACCTTCCCTACATCATTCCAACTTCACTGCACGTGTGCCCATTTTCCCCTTCATTGGGCCTCTTCCCCCAGTGATTTTCAGGGAATGGACCCGTGGTTTCCTGGGAAGTGTAAATGTGCAGCTTCCTGGTGAAGCTGCCCAGATGACCATGCTTATAATGTCTGGCCTGCCCTTTGCTTTCTTCCTATTATTAATATTAATAACTAACTAGTTATGAGGGTAACAGTGGTACATCTATTCTTTGATCACATTAAGACTTGTAAGCATTCCTTTCTTCATTGAGAAACAAATGTAATTATCTTACTTGATTTCTATATATACTACAGCTGCTTCATTTTCTTACAGCAGATATTATCTCTTAATGACAAAATTTCTTTTTACAAGAAAACCAATGCTATTTGTTGATATAAATTAAAGATCTCTGATACAAAATGTCCCTTAGACTTCTTGCTGATATTGATAGGCACACAGTTTTTTTCTATCTACTTTTTAAAACTGTTAAACTTGGTCAGCAATATGTAGATTTACATTTGTGTCATTGTGTTCCTTTTTCCATGTTTGTATATTAATATAAAGAAATAAATTGCCCTAATCGGTTTGGTTCAGTGGATAGAACGTCGGCCTGCGGACTCAAGGGTCCCGGGTTTGATTCCGGTCAAGGGCATGTACCTTGGTTGCGGGCACATACCCAGTAGGGAGTGTGCAGGAGGCAGCTGATCGATGTTTCTCTCTCATCGATGTTTCTAACTCTCTATCCCTCTCCATTCCTCTCTGTATAAAATCAATAAAATATGAAAAATATATGTTTAAAAAAAGAAATAAATTTCTGTCAGACAACATGGCATGGTAATATCAGCAGACACATGAATAATGTACATGGGACAATGTTTTAACTAAAGAAAAAATTAAATGCTTGATATGTAAAGGTAAAAATTAAATTTCTAATAATTTTTATATTCTTTGTACTATTATAGTTTTAAAGATATTGTGATATCTCAAGATAGACCATTCACTATAAAACTTGCTGAAAATTATGAACCATATAAAGTAGCATACATAATTTGAAATGTAGTGCCTTTGGGACATATTATAAATACTTTGATAGCCTAATCTTTGTTAAGGGTTTGGAAACATAAGGAAGCCAGTTTCATATTTATAGTTGGGTTTCCTTCTTGCCAGTTTCTCTTTTATAAGTTACTAGACTGTTGAACAACAACAAAAAGACAACATTCTCAAAATTAACGGGGTTTAAAAAAAAATTAGATGATAATAGAAGATAATTATTTTCAGCCAAAAATATATTATTAATTACAAATATTTCTGACACAGAAATGTATCTCATAGAGTTTAACAATACTTAGTGTTTTAATGTCAATACCATATAAACTGATTCAGTTTTAAATGCTATCATTTTATGTATACAAGAATGAATATTCTCAATTAGTATACCTAAATGTATTGATTTTCCAAATTTTATTTTGTTACCAGTATTTATTTTCCTAGAAATTTAATGAGCTTGGAGAAATATGTTTTACTTATCAAGTTTTAAGCATTTTGATTAGATTATTTCTATCTATGTTAAATAAGGAAAGAGGTTGTGATGTATTGGCTTTATGTCCATTTTTGTTCTTATATCGAAAGAAACCCCATTACTTTTGAAGAGATTCTTAGATCTACTATAGTTATCTTAACAGACTGTAAGAATGTAAAATAAATAACAGATCATGTTGGTCTGGATAAATGATGGCAACTAAAAAACACTAAGAAGTAATTTATGTATGTGGTATTGATAATGTACCTTCAGGTAGCAAATTTACTACCAAGTACTTAAGCAGATTTTATTAATGAACAATTTTGGGCAGAGAGGAAATGCTTTAAAAAGTTTTCACATATATGAAATAATAATTTTCTTCGGTAGATTCATATTTGGTAGATTAGGATGCACTGGGTATATTCTTGATCCATACTTCTTTAACCCACAGTGACATTCGTCAAATGGTTGGCTGGAATTCATTTCATAATCTGGGACTTTGGAGCAGATTTTACCCCCTGTGCAAAGTTAATTGACCCAGATAGGAATTAAATCTGCTGCATTCAGAAAGTAGAGCTAGCCAGGACAAATATATGTTAAGATATGAAACAATCACATCATTGCCCTATGGAATATCATTATTTATAGACACATTTTCTCACTCATGGGAGTAGAAAAATGTGTTCATGTAATTTGTTGTATTTTCGCTGAAAATGGAGAAATAACTATGTGAGAAATAATTATACCACCATATCTTTCAGTTGGAGTCATATTTGTTTTGCAAAGAATGGGGTTATTTTCTCTTGGTTTTCTTTTTTGTTTTTGTTAGGTAGGTACTTTGGGGTAGATGTGAATGTTCAATACAATGTTTATAGAGATATGCATATATTTTTGCTGAACTATTGGCCATTGACTTGGCACACTATGCATTCTGCTATATTTACTAACTTATATTCTTTAATGTTGCATGTTGCTTCAAATTATATTTCATCCGTTTTTTAGGGCATTTCCTCTGTCTTTGTGATCGCTTCATTTAGGATCACAGTAAAGCAGATACTTTTGTATTTTTAAGGTCACCCACAGCTTCTACAACATTAGGCACTTTTATGTTTAGGAACTAGCTGTGCTCCAGGACTCAGTATCATGACATTTAATGTTCAGCCATAGCACACAGGTTGTCCATTATGAAGAATCTTAAATTCAGTTAATGTTAAAGCAGATTTTCTTCGCTCTTATTAAATTTTCTTTGAGATGTTTTATAGCATTTGTAAAGTATTTTAAAATAGTGACATTAGGGCTAATATTCTTGTGGGAAATAATTTTGTTTAGGTCATCTTATATTTATACATTTATTTTATTGTCTTTTTTACAAATGAAATGGAGTTTATACTTGTCTTAATTCAGGTTTTGAATTAATATTATTTTAGCAGTTCTAAGAAAATTAAAACTTTGATGGAAGGTAAGCTCAGGTGATCAGCACATTGATTCAGGAATATTTGGCATAGCAGTTCATTAACTATGTGTTAATTATCTATGATTACTCCTGAAAAGCCACAGTGGCTTCATCTTTTAGGTTGCTTCATTAAATCATTAATTTTCTTCGAGGTAACTAAGCCTGACATAATTAAGTCATCTCAGTCTCCACAGATTTTTATCTTCCCAGGATGTCAAGAATACTGAGCTAGTTAATATAAGGCATTGTATCTTGTTCCCTGGATGTATTGACTTTATTTTTTATAATATTTATACTATTTTGGCTCATTTTAAAATTATATTTTAAAAATCTTATGAATGTATATATTTTCATTATGTACTTACTGTTTTAGATTACATTTGTATTTCCTGTATAATAAAGCCCATTTATGTATTTAAACCACTTCTTACCAACAGTTCTTTGACCCCTGGCTACATAAAGCTGCTTCAGTTTATTCAGAAAATCATTTATGAGGAAGGATTTGATGGATCCAATCCCCAGGTATGAGTACCTTCAAACCCTTTTATAATCATGGATATGATGTTGTTTTCAAGCTCTCTAGGACTACACCCAGAAGGTCTTAGAATAATCAACAATGAACAAGCTGTTTCCAGCTCAGAAGATGTAAATAAGCAGAGCACAGCAGCCTTAGTTTGACTAGTGATGTGTATTCAGAATTTTAGCTATGTTCTCAGTGAATGCACATAAGATGTACACATTCAGTGTCAACATGAATTATTGTAAACACCTGGAATTAATAGGTAGCCACATTTTGAAAATTATTCTTAAATCTGTAAGTCTTGTACTTTCCCATCTAAATTTTTATATTTCTGTCAATCAGGATTTAATTTTGAATTACCTTATCAGTAAGAGTTAATTATTTTATGATTTTACATTTATTACAGAATGCTTCGGGTTGTCTCAGTGAATAAAAAGACATTTCTATTTGCTGTATTAAAATATTTTATAACTATTTTTCTGTAGCTCTCTTTTTTAAAAATTTCTCTGAATTACCACTATTAAAGATGTTCCAGTTAGTTTAACTTAAACAAAATAAGGGAAATTTTATTTCTACATATCGTGTGGCTCTGAATTCTTCCTCAGTTATTTTAATTGCTATAGCTGCTAAAAGATTTGCATTTCATTTATATTATTTTAGCAGAATTATTTTCCAAAAGACATTATTTTTATTGAAGAAGACAAAGAAGCCAAGTCTTACTTGTGGCATTATCAACTACACTTGCTCTTAATTCATGGATTTAAAAAATATTATTGTTACTTTACTACATTTAACAGTATCAAAGGTAAAATAAATAATTTTTTAAATTTGTCTTAATCATCAGTTTAATAGCAGGTTGAAAATAGTATGTGTGTGTTGTGTGGTGAAGCACATTCACTTATAGATGGCTTTTCGTGTATGTTACAGTTTTTGTGGTGGTCCTTGGTATTTACTACAATTTTGTTACGCTCATTATTGCTCCATTTTTGGTCCTAGTTAAGATTTATGGGCTACATGTCTTCTCTTTGGTGGCAGTGCCTGTCTGGAGAGGTAAATTGGTCCCTGACAGACACCTCTCCCCATTCGCTGTGGTAACTATGGAAACAGGCATGTCATATTGGTCCCTGACAGACACCTCTCCCCATTCGCTGTGGTAACTATGGAAACAGGCATGTCATAACAGTTCCTACGGTACAGTGTGCAGAGCTGCTGCTCTTGTAGGATGATGACACATCTTCTAAGACCAAGACATTTTTTTTTTAAATCAAAAAATCAAATGCAATAGCAAAAAGATACATACTTACACATAAATGTAAAAGCTGTTGTTGGAATGGATTGAAAGGTTTGTTTTCTTGGTTGTTTATTTCACCATTTTCAATAAACAATATTTTTCATGAACGTTGACAAACAACAAACAGTAGCTGGTTTCACTCTCTGAGCCAGAGATTCTGTAACTGTTGACTTTCATAAAAATGAACAGGGTTGAAGTAGACATTTCTATGGTGAATATCAAGAATGCTAAAAAACTTTTAACTAAATAAAAATATACCAGTAAGTCATTTAAAAATATATTTCTAACTTTATTGGAATGAAAATATAGTTAATGAATTTCCATATTGTTAAGTTATGGATTGTATCGTTTGCTAAATTCACAAGTCTATACATCTGCCTCAGAAACTTTAGATGAGATCAGGAAGTCACAACAGTGCATCTATCAGTCACTACTTAAAATATATTATTCCTGAATCACAATAATATTCTGATACTGAAATAAATCCTGCTTTTTTAAGAGGAAATTTTCATCTTATGGTTTTTATCATTCCATTTTCAACTAAGCTAAACTAGTTGGAGGCAGCATATAGAAATAGACTCTAAGAAGCATAATATTATATACTACTATATAGCTCACCTGTGAAGTAAAAGAGGTATCCTATTAGTTAACAAAACTTAAAGTGTTTACCTCTCCTCCACTTTCCTTTAGAAAAAACAGAAAAACATTTTACGAATAGCAATCCAGAGTCTTGGTTCACCTTTGTGGGGAGATGATGTCTGCTGTACAAAAAACTGTGACAACAGTCACAGCCTTACAAAATTCCTCTTCGTTCTCCGTGGTCTTCTGCGCACCTCTCTTTCAGCCTGCCTCATCACTGTGCCAACACATCTCATCCAGGTAAGAACTTTTCAAAACCACTTTCCCCTAATTAGTGGTGCATAGTAAAGAGCAAAATGTAATTGCTTTAGGAGTCTGATAAATTATTTTCACATGTCCTTTACTAATTTTTTCTTTGCTTTCTTGTGAGCTTGCTAGATCATTGTGATATGAAGTTGATTTTGATCTTTTAATTAATCATAAACTGATCTGAACATAGGTCTTGAAGAAATATTTGTAGACCTATGTGAATAGCAGCATTAACTAAAATGTGGAAGCAAATTAAGTATTCATCAACACATGAGCAGATAAGCAAAATGTATCTTATATTTCAGTGGAATACTATTCACCCTTGAAAGGAAATTCTGACATATGCTACAACATGGATAAATCTTAAGGACATTATGCTAAGTGAAATTAGTCACAAGAAGATACTGTGATTTCATTAACATGAGGTAGTTAGAATAATCAAAATCATAGACAGAAAGTAATATGGTGGTTGACAGGGACTGAGGGGAGGTGGGAGTGGGGTGTTATTACTTAAAGGATACAGAGTTTTTGCCTGGCCAGTATGGCTCAGTGGTTGAGCATCAACCTATGAACCAAGAGGTTCCAGTTCGATTCCTGGTCAGGGTACATGCCCAGGTTGCATCCCCAGTGGGGGGTGTGCAGGAGGCAGCCTATCAATGATCTCTCTCATCTTTGATGTTTCTATCTCTCTCTCCCTCTCTTCCTCTCTGAAATCAATAAAAATGTATTTTAATAAATAAATAAAGGATACAGAGTTTCAGTTTTACAAGATGAAAAGAGTTCTGAAGATGATGATGTCAGCACATTATGAACATAATACCAATGAACAGCTTACTTAAAAATGAATAAGATGCTAAATTTTATGTTATTTTCTTCTAATGCACATACTAAAACCCTTTAATTCAAAATTACTTAGTTTTATAATAGAAGTTTTAAGTTTTGTTTTGCTTTATTTTTCTAGGAAATAGCAAAAATAACAATAATGATAGCAGCTCAAGATATGGAAATATCATTCCTTGGTCATTTGAAAAGTATCATTTCACCGAGTTATGCAGATCTTCCAAATATTTACACATTTCATTATACAATATCAAACAATCACATTGGTTAATATCATTACCATCCACAATGTTGTATGTGTTGTGAGGTTATTTTTATCATTACTTTTATATTGTAAGAATATGCCACAAATTCTTTATCTTTTCACTTATTGAAGGACATTTGAGTTGTTTTGAGAGTGATGCTATTATGAAGCAGCTGTGACCATTCATGTAGAAGTCTATGCAAAAAAAAATATATATATATATATATTTGTCCCTCTAGTAATCACATCTTTCCAAAAATTTTTATTTTCAGTCTTTTTTATTTTAGCTTTTGCAGTTCATGTGAAATGTTATGATTGTGGTAATTTGCATTTCCTGGGTAACTAATAATATTGACCATCTTTTCATGTGCTTGTTGGCTATTAGCCTATCTTCTTTAGTCTCAGCGGTTCTCAACCTGTGGGTCGCTACCATCGGAAAACACATATAGCATATCAGATATTTACATTATGATTCATAACAGTAGCAAAATTACAGTTATGAAGTAGCAACAAAAATAATAACTTTATGGTTGGGGGTCACCACAACATGAGGAACTGTATTAAAGGGTCGCGGCATTAGGAAAGTTGAGAACCACTGGCTAAGTCTTTTGGCCATTTTTTTTTAAGTTATCTCCTCATTATCAAGTTTTAAAATTGCTTATTTATTTTAGGTACACCTCTGCAATAGTTTTTTCCTGTCTGTGATTTGTCTTTTCTATTTTCTTAACATTATGTCTGAAGAGCTGAAGTTTTTAATCTTGATAAAGTTTAATTTATCTATTTTTTAATGGCTAGTGGTTTATCTTCCCCATTTTTTCCATCTTACCAGTCTTTGTCCTCTACCAATCTTTTTTATGTGTGTTTTCTTCTAAAACTTTTATAGTCTTATCTTTTCAAATAGATCAATTTATTCCAATTTGAATCTTTTACACTTTAGTTTGTATTTTCAAATAGCTTTTGGCTTATTAGTTAACATCCTGATTATATGTTAACTCACTTTATATTCACTAGTTTTCTTTATTAGTAGTACTTTTTACCAAAGTATTCATTGTCTACCTCAAACATGTGATTCTTATATGTACATCTAATACATTGTAGTCTCTGTAAAGTCAGGGCCACATATTTGTAATTTTCCTTTTACTTAGCTTAGGGCTATGATAATAATATATTAGTAAGTGGAATAAAGTATAAAAATTCCTAGTGCAATACCTAGATTTTTTTATATTTTCAATAAATGTTAAAGGAATATTGATTCTTACTTGGAAATTTATTTCTAATACTCGATTATTTAAACTTGAATCTTTATTTAAATTTATGTGACTTTAGTATCTTTGTTCAAACCCTATCTACAAATGGCAAGTTTATTAAAATGTCATTAATTATACATAGTTTATTAAAATGTCATTAATTATACACAGTATATATAGTACATTTCAAGTCCTATGACCAAGGAGTTCAGCATAAAAAAGAAATGAATTTTGATTCCTTGGTTAGTAGGATTTATTTATAACAGTCATAAGAGGATAACTGTTTTTCTTTAAGGGCTTTTCATAGACTGTGCTTGAACCTAACTTACTATTATGAGTTTAAAATCACACAAATATTATAGGGAAACTCCTTTCTCTAATCGTCTTAGACATTGTACACATACTTACATTGTTTGCATTGTTAACGATGTTAAGTCATGATAAAGTTAATGCTTTAATAATAGTTTGGTCAGATTTAATGAGCTTCTTGATTATGATGATGAATAAACCTCGAACAGACCTGTCAGATGCTGGTGAAAATAGTGGAATTCATACTACTACAACTATGCTATTGCTACAAATATTTATCAGGCACATACTACATGCCAAGTACTATACAAGTATTATGTCATCACCACAGCCCTTACCTCTTTTTTTACAAGGTCACACAGTTAATAAGTGGCAAGCCAGTCATGTCCTAACTCATGTCTTTCTCTGACTCCAAACTCCACCCTCTTCACTGTTAGGTTGTATGGTTTCCCTAAGCATCACAAAATCTCTGCAAGATAGGTGCAATGCCAATATCAAAGAAGATTAAACTGAAGTGATTCTCTAAAGCCACGCCTCTATTACATCTTTAAAGCTAGTATCAAATTCATATCTGCTTAACACTTTGCTCTCTGTCACACTACATCCTATGGGTCTTAAATTATTAACTACCTGTGATAGCAGTAACTTTCCATTAGGAAAAAAATGTTCTAGGGTAGCATTGCTATTATTCAGTTTTGTTTTGTTTTTAATACTTACCCGAGGATGTTTTTCTATTAATTTTTAGAGAGAGTAGAAGAGAGAGGGAAAGACAGAGAGAAATATCGATGTGAGAGAAACACATCAATTGGTTACCTCCTGCTCAAGCCCTGACGAGGGCCTGGCCTAGGAGGAGCCTGCAGCTGATGTGCGTTCCCTTGACTGGAATCAAACCCAGGACCCTTCAGTCTGCAGACAGATACTCTGTCCACTGAGCCAAACAGGCTAGGGCTTATTCAGCATTTTTAAAGAAAAAAATCATTGTAAAATCTTTAACAAATTAGTACATGTGAAAGATTAAATGAAGAGTTACATTCTAGCAAGGGAGGAAAAAAAGATGGAAGCCTATTTCCTTACATGTAATTGCAAGAAAAGAAAAACAGTTATGAAATAAATATATGTAGTTTTTTATGTATTCTAAAGGGACCTATGCAAAGCAAGGGAAAAGAAAGAAAAAATTTTCAAAAACCATTTTAGGGGTGATCATCTTTATTACTTAGAGAAGAGACCCCAAACCCATTGTGAATGTTGTGACAGTGCTTCCTCTAGCCCCAGTGTAAGGGACCAGCAGTAATATGATTAAAGTAAAGGCCCGATGCACGAAATTCTGCAAGGGGCTCAGCCCTCACAACCGTGGCAGCTTGCCTCAGCCCTCGCACCCCTGGCTTCTTCCAGAAGGTCATCCGGAAGGCTGTCTGGAAGGTCATTTGGCCATCCGGTCTAATTAGCATATTACACTTTTATTATTATAGATAGCCTCAAGTCATCCTATCTCATCAATGATTAAAAAATTGAGACAAGCCCTGACCAGTTTGGCTCAGTGGATAGAGTGTCGGCCTGCAGCCTGAAAGGTCCCAGGTTCGATTCCAGCCAAGTGCATGTACCTTGGTTGCAGGCACATCCCCAGTGAGGGGTGTGCAGGAAGCAGCTGATCGATGTTTCTAACTCTCTATCTCTCTCCTTTCCTCTCTGTAAAAAATCAATAAAAATATTTCAAAAAAGAAGAAGATTGAGATGATAAGGTGAACTGGATGTCTGCATATCAGTATTTAAATTTTGGAAATTTATAGACATGTTTAAATCCTTCTATAACTGGAAAAGATATAGTTTAAATTTTTGCTTTTGAAAATACCAGTAAAGAGACAACTTTGAAATGGAAATAGAAAAACATAGGGTCAGACTTTGATGACTGCCACTTCCCTAGACAATTTTGCCTGTTATAATATAGTAGTATTCTGACCCTAACATCAATTGAGCTGTAAAAAAACAAATAATTTCTTTGCTCTTTGAACATGACACCTAACCATATTTTTGTTTTTATATCAAAATATTTAGAAAAAAATATAAAACTTAATAGTTTGCTTAGACCAGTTATGATATAAATAGGGGATAACCCTAACTCTCAAAGACTGGTAAGGAAAATCACAACATTTAGGCTAAAGAAAGAGACTCAGAAGGAGCATGTTTACACTGCTTCTAAAATCATACATCAGCTTTATCTCTATTGTGACCAGTGCCATCCCTGCAAACTCCAAGTCAGGTTTAAATGGTGATTAATTTACTAAGGGAATTTAGCTTATTCATTCATGAAATAATTTATTGCAGGCACGGTTCTAGGCACCTATAGGGTTATA